ATCTCACGAAGTTTTAAAAGTATTAACTATCCAATTAGAATAAGGTGTCACAGTTAAGGTTTTGGTTAACTCAATGCAAGAAAGGGAAGTCGTGATTTTCGGAGGGATCTGTGACCAAGTCATTCAGAGTGGTCTGTCAAATTAGTTAAGTGGGAAAAAGTTTGAAATTAATCGAAGACTGTAAATAAGAGTATGATTAAGTTCAAGAAGTTTCGAGAGTTCATGGAAGAAGGAAATTTTCCAGCGAAGGGAAGTTGGAAGAATGAGTATGTCTGAAATCAAGTGTTAAACTAGTTGATGAGGCAAGAAGTGTTTCTTTCCTCGGGTAAATGAAATTCAAGGACAAGTTTCAATTTAAGGGGTGGTGGAGAATGTAATATCCCGTTTACCCTTAAATGCTCTATTAGTTGTCAGTTGAGACATATTGAGTTCCTAAATGATTTATTAATTGTCAGTTGAAACAAATAGAGTAATTAGTAAACTCATAGGAGGTTAATTCTTACTCAACTCATCTGGTCTTTAATAGCTGGTACAATAAAGTACATTGGGTATTAGTACTAAATGATGAATGGATACTAGATACAAAATATCTCTCTTTAGATATTTCTCTTCACTCTCCTTTTCCATTCATTTTTCTATCTTATGGTTAGAAGAGAAAGAATAAGGGAAGAGAAAAAAAGAAAGGAAAAGAGAAAGAATAGGAGAAATAAGATGGAGCCATGGTAGTCAACATCATCACCATAAATTCATTTATTCTTCATCATCTTCATCTCCTTAAGGTGGGTTCCTCGTTAGACTAGCTTTGGGTGGGGGAAATTCATGTTTTGGGAATTAGGGTTTTGTGTGAAAACTTGCTATATGTGTGAAATCTATGATTATACATGACCACCTTGTTGTTTTGCATGCATATTTGTGTTAAACCATGTTAATTGGGGTTATTGGGTGCAATATGATGATATGTGTTGATGTGTGTGGCCATTTTCCCTTTTTGTTATGTTTCTACACTATTTTGGTCCTGTCAGCCTCGCCCGGCGAGCCCCAGGAAAGATGGCCTTATTGCGTCTTCATCAGGCGAGCAACAGGGTTTTTGGCTACTGACTTGTCTCGCCCGGAGCTCGCTTGACTAGCTTGACAGCATTGAGAAAAATATTTGGTTCTTGTTTCTACCATAGCTCAAGAACTGTGAATACGATTGATACAAATTTTGAAGCATTATAAAGCTAATCCAATGTGCTATTGCATGGCGATGAGAAAACATTAATTAAATCAAGGATTCTTGGTGGATGATAGCAATAATTATAAGCTCCATGTGAACTATTTATGTTTGATTTATGTTTGACTTGTTTGTTAATAATGGCTTTATTAACCATACGATAATGATGAGTGAGGAAAACTTAGGATGACATTTAGGTAAAGGAATTAGAAAGATAACATAGGTAAAGATAATAAGTTATGTGATGATGCTTGAACGCAAAGTACCTCGCTGTGTACCACAGACAAATATTTGCTTGAATGATAAATTAATATGCTCTGTATGGAACATGAGGAAACATTATGAGAATTGGTGGATGTGACCACCTATTGATTAATGAGATAATATGAGAATTGGTGGATGTGATCACCTAGTGATTAATTGGAGTAATTCCAGATTTATTGAGAACTAATCATGTATTCGAAATTATCCTTGATCGTGCACATCCAAATTGAGATGCTTATGTAAAGTAGAATTGGAGATGTGGCACCAATGATTTGAGCCTCAATGGGTTTAGTCTCAACCATGTCGAATTCATGGGGGGAAAGGTGGACACCTAAGTGGATTCGAGTCCCATACGATAAAAGAGACTCAAAGTGGATTTGACTCACATACGAGTGACGGTTTCGGAAGTGGGTTCGAGTCCCATGGGGAATCAAATATCCACGTGAAAGTTGAATCATACGAGCATATGCGTGAACCGAGCCTTGACCTAGACGTAGGTCCGGTCGGGGATTGATGTTTCGTGAATCTGAATATTGATTTATTGAGTTATGAGAACTCAAGTGACATGTTTCCATACATTGTGAATATCTCTTGGATGCTTAAGTTCAATTACGTTGTGTGGGACCCATAAGTAATAAAGATGAAGAGTTTAGTTTGGAATCGATAATAGATCCCTTTAGAGCCGAGTGGACTCATAGGATAGGGGAACTCACTGAGATTATTATTATCCCATTATCATTATTGTTTTTCAGGTAGTTATTTGTAGGTTAAAGACAAGAGGAAGTTGGTCGATGATGTTTCAAAGGCTTTGTGTTCATAATCTTCCGATATGAATTTTGTACAATTGTATATATTATACATAGATCTTAGAATTTTGTTTAGGCACTATTGTATGACATGTGACATATGTTGTATTTTATTTTATAGACATGTATATAACAATATCGTTAGGCACTTATGATGTATCAGTATCGATTAATATCACATATAATGTATTTTCCAAATGTATATTATACGAGATGTTACATCACCTCAAACTCTTTACTATTATAACCAATATCCTTCTTTATTACAAAATTAATTCTTGTTATTTAATTTCTTGTTATTTAATTTTGTTATTATTGTTGAACTTACTACTCTCATTTGCATTATTTAGTGTTATTGTTATTCTGGGTTTATTGTGATCTCCTCCATTGCTCTTTGGGCTTTACTTGCTTTTACCACCCCTCTTTTTTTACTTATATACTTTCCTTTTCTTTTTTCTTTTTAATTTTCTCGTCAAATAACCCTTTTTGAATTTCAGAAACTAATTAGGATGAGTTTCAGGAATTTTGAAACAAAAAATTATCTCTTTTCTAAAAAAAAAAGTTTCATTTATATACAAAATATTTATTAGGATAGGCATGCTCCCCATCTAATATAAAAAAGAACCACCAACCTCACTCTATGAATATATATATTGAAACTTAATTATAAATTTAGTTTTTTGTCAATAATTATAAGAATGTATGTGTATGCATTTTAGAATCTGAGTATGGATGCATAAATATTCATATTTCTTGATTTTGAGTACATAGATAGAATAATGCAAAATCAACTTTTTAGAATGAGTAATTCTGCATTTTTAAAATTAAGTTCCATAGTTCATTTTATATATTTACGTTTCAAAAAGTCATTTCTAGGATGCACAAATGTTGTTAAGTTCCAAAAGGAAAGAAGCTTTGCTTTAACTTTTAGCACTAATAAGTATTCAATTGATTATTTCATTGCAAGTACGTATACATCAACATCTGCATATGGTTTGCTCAAACATACGACTTTTTTTCGATAAATAACAATCCATTGTTAATAACCATCAAATTTGGCATGAGAATCACACACTCTTCCCACATTCTAGGAGGGATTGAAGAAGGAGCCTAATAATATGCTAAAGTAAGATGGAAACAAAAATTACACCAAAGTTTGTAACATCCATGGATTCAATTCAGAGCCAAAATAAATCCGACACAAACTAACTACTAAGCTAATGTATCCCGCAGCAACATGTCCACCAAAATATAAGTTCCCAATGTAGCATTAAGTTGGTCTTCAAGGCGACCTTTTGCCCAGCCCTCAGACATCATAGGAAACGATGTAACCACCTTCATACTGTATCAGTACTTCACAACCCACCTACAAGAACAGTACTTCACATCCCACATGCAAGAACTTGCAGGAATTGCAGTCAAATGCAAAACAGAGTAGATACTTCACAGCCTCCTTCTCAAAATATCAGTCCAGACTCCAGACTAAAATTAGCAGCAAAAATGCAGAGCAGCTCAAATCATTAATCTGGTATATCATGCAATAGATATGTGATGGTGAGAATCTAGACTTTTAGGAAAAGTTGATTTGACTAGTATGATGTTCCAACCTTTTGCTCCAACAGTATGTGTATCTACAAGTGCTTGACTTCATCACTGTTTGAGAACAATAAAGCAAAAGAGCAAGTTCTGCATATCAAAATTGATGTGAAGAGCAGAACAAACATACAAGAAAGTTTCCCAGGCCCCAAGCGACTTTGGAGTGATAGGAAGATATAGAAGGAATTTATGACCACAAAAAGCAAGTTTAAGGGCAATGCCTGAGGAAGGCTAGCGGAGATAAAGCTCTACTGTCTCTTATTTTTGGACTTGCAAAACTTGTTCTGTTTCTATCGTGTTCTTGAAAAGTGATACATACATTCAAAAATAGTGTGATAAAGTCTAGAAGGAAGGCACACAAGAGAGCATGCTCCCGTTGAACTTCTTCAGTCAAACACGGTTTCTGAACTTCAGAATCTTATAGAAACATGCACCAAAAGAGTTGGAACACTATACAAATCAAATCGACCTAATCTGGAACCTTGGATCCTCACCATATCAATTTATCCATGTAAAATCCCAGACTTCGTGCAGAAACTGAGAACCAAGTGAGATTCTTGACTTTCACTACCAACCCTGAATCACAGCTTTTCTGAAACAGAGATCATATATTGTGTTATAAACACTTTTAAATAAGATGACCAAAAACATTACTATGCATAGTCATAATAAAGAGAATCCAAATTCCTCTGGGGCCTAACATATAACAACACCTGAAAATGCAACTTGTTCATTTATTATCTTAAGAGTAGTTTTAAGATGATTGGCTCCTTTTGCCCTAAATGTAAATGCAACTTTGTTGATAATATAATGGATTTAATAATTTGTATTGTATTACCTGTGAACAGGTGAGTTAGCCATCCAATAGAATAAACATGTGTAACTTTAATTCCTTATTATCCATAGTAGTTCACAATAGAATATAATCACACTTTGTATGATAGCAAGATACAATCGCACCACAACCAATCATAATAGCAAAGGACATAGACAAATTTACATAAATTCCTATATTTGAACCAGGAAAGAGCCTAACCAAACAAAGTGACATGACCAAAAAATAGGCTGTAGTTGGAAGAATTTGTGAATACAGTTACTAAGGTTGCATCATGAGTGCGAAGTCAAGGTGCATATTCATGTTCAATTGTGGGTAGTGTTCGAGTAAGTGAAGCAGCGGGTGCTTTTGTATTCCCTACAGAGGTCATATGAAGGACTTCTCCCAAATCACCAGCTCTTTCCATCTCTTGTATTTTCTTTGTCTGCTTGCAGTTCAGCACCCATAAAACCAGTAAAGATGACAATGCTACCAAGACAAGTCCACCCGCAAGTACAGAGCCTACAATAATCCCTACTTTTTTGTTACTCGACTTGCTCTCCTTAGGAGGAATTGGCAATGAAGAAATAGCAGGAGGAGGAGGAGTGGATTGGACCACTATGGAGAAATGACCCTGTTGGAAAGTAGAGCATGTGTTTCCTCCGGTTACATTCGAAAAATGAGATGAACCGAATAAATCAAAGCACACACATTTTGGTAGAATACCAGGAGGATGAGATTTGACATCATGAAACCTTACAATTATGGGGTCAGCACCACCATTTAGATTATGATATGATAAATTTGTAGCTGATAAATCAGAACCATTATAAGCAACAAGTCCTAAGAGTGGAGCAAGATAAGTATAATTAGGAAGCAAAGGATAGTATTTTATGGACCAATTACCCAAATTTTGATACACCAAAACGAGCCTTTTCACATATGGTGTTTCAATGAATCCTTTGGGAATTTGAAACTCATTGTAGTTTGGAACACCGTATCTCCTGAGACTACCACTCCTTAATCTCAAAGCGGAAAGAGTAAGACCAGTGAAATTGGAAGGGAGTTGAGTAGTTGCATTGTAAATGGTACCTGTTATTGGTTTGACCAAAGCCTTGTAGGCATATTCCTGGAGAATTGCATCAAGGGGGTTGGCTTTGGAGTCACCCATGACTTGACAACCAAGTGATGATAGAAGAATTAGAACAAGAAGAAGACTAGGAATCCTCATCATCAGAAATTGCAGTGGAATGAATTAGTTCTGTTTGTGTTGGGTAAAAACAATAATGGGTATAATAAAAAAAGAAGATGAAACAATATTCTGTATGTCTGGTTGGGGAATAAATTAAAGGAAGCAGCTTTGAGGAGAGTTTAACCGTGGCTGAGAATATGCATTTGATTCCCGTCTGAGTCAAGATCCAATGAGGAGGAAAGGAAAAAGTGAAATCCCTAAAAAAAAGGAGGTGAAGTTGAGGGACACATGAGCACTTAATTCCAAAGTTCAACCACCCACACTCAATCTTCATCATCAATAAAAGGGTGATTGGAAGAGAACCAATTTGATGAGGCCCACCTAAGCTGGGAACAACAACATAACAAAATACAAGACAACAACACACATTCACAAAAAGCACAAATCACCCACCACTGTCACAGACTATGCACGGCCCACACCCTTCTTCAACAATTATTTATTCTTTAGAATACATTTAAGTAAATCAATTTTAATATAGTAAAAAAAGTTTAAATAGAGTTCTGACCCTCTATTTTCACAAAAAATGAATTTTTCATCCCTATTTTCAATTTTATGGTAATTCACCTTTTGAATCAGTTTTTGTTCCTTAGTTTTATTTTTTCTGAGTTTTAATCCTCTGTATTTCAGGATCAATTTTGTTAACGAAGAAATGACTAGATTAACGTGGAGGAATATCAAATTCGGCTAATGCGGCATGTTATAGTCTCTAACAATAAAAGCTAATAGACGGACTCATTTTTATACTTGCAACTGCAAAACTTGTATACACATGCATCCAATAAGATTTCATAGTATAGATATATTAAGAAGTATGACAACAAAATGGCATCATGATATTTGATTGAATGATAGGTAAAATGTTGAAAATAGATATGAAATAACAGAGCTCAATAAAAGAAGCCACTAACCATTTTCAGAGGTCTCACTCTTTTCCACTTCCTTAAGTTGTTTCTTCTTCAACAATTTGGGTCTAGGCTTCACAGGCTTCAAAAAACTAACTTGCAAATTCACCATTTCCCTCAAAATCCCAATGAGTGTAGCCTCAATCTGAACCCCATTAGGCTCAAGAACCCGCAACGCTCTAGCCACAGCCTCCATAGTACTCACGCAACCACCAAAAGGTTCCTTCCTCAAAATCAATTCAGAATCATAAATACTTCCCCCACTCACTTTCTCATCTTCCATCCCTAAACAAACCCTAATCGCGAATTTGGACAAAAACTCCTCACTCGCCTTCACCATCTCCTTGGCGTGCTTCCACGTCGCGTCAAAGGCAATCAATACCAGGCCGCTGTTCTCGGCTTTGCGTTTCAGCTCCGAGAGATTGAGGTCGGAGATGTTGACGGCCGGCGAGGAGGTGGTTGATGGGAAGAGGTAGACGGCAGGGGGGAGCTGGTCGAAGAGCGGGGAGGTGTTGCGACGGAGGCGACGGCCGGTGATGGCGGTGGCGTGGAGTAGGGATTTGGTGAGGATTGGAGTGGTGGAGAGTTTGTGTTTGGCCTCTTGAGGGTGGTGGAGAATGAAGACTCGGGTAGTGGTTGGAATGGGATTTGCGGGAAGCGCGTGACAGAGACACACTGGATTCGGCCGTTGGCAGTTGGAGCAGATGGAACGCCGGTGATTTCCCGGCGACGTTGAGAGTGGGAGGAGCCGAATGCCGCCTTCTTCTGCCTGGGGTTCCATGCAAACACCGATTTTTTTTACTACTATCATTTATTTCCTCCTTTTTCAATTCAATCTTTTATACAAACTCTGAAAATTTAACCACTCTCGATAAAAAAATGTCTTTTATATGCTAATTCATTTATTGAAGAATTATACATATCTTAACTATATTTGATTCAAATAATGCCTTATTAAAAAAAGTTGTTAGGTTAAACTTTGATTGTTTCAGAAAATAGGTTAACTCTGACTCAAAATTTTGATTGAAGCATATCATATTCCATTCACTCCAATCAAACTCAAGGTAAAGCTTCCAAAGTACTCACAATTATAAGGTAAAATAATCATTTTTACACTAATTAGAAAGGTTAGTTAACGATAATTAATTTTAGTAAAATTTATTATAAAAATCTGTTTAATGGACCGTACATGATAGAAACATTATAGAATATAAATGAGAATAAAGATATAATATAATAAAGATATTATAGCATTTTACATTGTCTTGCTTGGACAAAGACTACTTTGAGGTGGGTTGCATGATCGGTGTCTGCTCGGGATTTGACGATCATGTCGTCCATGTAAACCTCGAGCATGTCCCTGATTTGGTTGTGAAACACTTTGTTCATCATACGTTGGTATGTCGCCTCTGCGTTCTTCAGACCAAAGGGCATTACGTTGTAGTAATAGTTGTCTGAGCTGGTCATGAAAGCAGTGCAATGTTTGTCGGTTACGGCCATTGGGATTTGGTTATAGCTTGAATATGCATCCATGAACGACAGTACTTTGTAACCGGCCGAGTTGTCGACCAGCATGTCTATGTTTGGTAAAGGAAAAGCATCTTTCGGGCATGCCCGATTGAGGTCGGTATAATCAACACATATTCGCCATTTTCCATTATTCTTTTTGACTAATACAATGTTTGACAGCCAGGTTGAATACCGGGCTTCAGAAATAAAATTTGCTTCTAAGAGGTCTTTTACAGCTTTTTCAGCAGCCTCCGTTTTCTTCGGAGACTGCCTACGTCTACGTTGTACTACCGCCCTAGCAGTTGGATCTATGGCGAGATGGTGACAGGCGACCTCGGGGTCGAGTCCGGGCATCTTTGCGGCGCTCCACGCGAACAAGTCAGCATTCTCGCGCAAGCAGGCTTTGATCTGCTTCCTTGCCAGGTTGGTGAGGTCGGTACTGATCTTTTGCTTGCGTCCTCACCGAGGGGGACGAGCTCGAAGTCCCCGTCCGGAATTGGCCGAAGGGGACTTGCTCGCCGCTGGGAGGCTCATCCTGGTCGAAGCGGGTGTCCAAGGCTATGGAGTCGACCTTTGGGGGAGCTCTCTATTCTTCTGCCTTGATGGGCTCTGTCTTCTCGGGCTCTGGTCGTGTCGCCGCTGGTCTCTTGGCGGGCTTTGTCCTAGTGTCGACCGTGTCGCGTCCCTTGGATACCGCATTGAAACACCTTCGAGCAGCGTCCAGGTCCCCTTGGATGGTGGCGACCCGTGCCCTCTTGGTGTAAAAATTCATCTTCAAGTGGACGGTAGAGGGTACTGCGATCAGTTTCGCCAGTGTTGGTCTTCCCAGGATGCAGTTGTAGAGGGACGGGCAGTCGATAACGAGGAAGTGCACCTTGACCTGCCTCGTCGTCGTGTCCTCGCTAAAGGTAACCATGAGCTCCACGTATCCCCAAGGTTTGGAGGTCGAGCCGTTGAAGCCTTGTAGGTCCGACCCCACATAAGGTGAGAGGTGTGAGTCGTCGGGCTGCAGGGTCCAGAATAGTTGACTGTACATTACGTCGACGGAACTTCCTTCGTCGACTAGAATGCAGTGTACGTCAAAATTAGCCATTCTCGCTCTTATTAGCAGAGGAATGACCGCGTTAGGAGCTCCTCCGGGGAGCTCTTCGAGGTAAAAGGTGATAGGCTCCGATCTACCTTTCACCCTTTCAAAAGTCACGGTCTGAGGGGGTGCAGAGTCGACCAGTTCGTCCAGCTTCCTCTTGGCCGAATTTATGGTTAGGTCGTTGAATCCTTCACCATTGATGACCATGGCGGAGGGAAAGTGCTCCCACCTGCTGTGTGTTGACAATGGTTCTTGTAAATGCTCGGGGACGTAGAAGTCCTCAGGTCTTGTGACGGAGAAGACGGTCTGGATGGGGATCGACTCGTCAGATGGTCAGGCATCCTCCTCCGACTCTCTTGTCTCCTGCGCATCGCGACGAGGAGCATCGTTCCGCCGATATTGGGCGAGTCTCCCCCCTTTTATGAGGGTCTCGATGGCGTCCTTGAGGTGGACGCAGTCCTCCGTCAGATGACCATGGCTTCTATGGTACTGACAATATTTTCTCTTGTCCACCCCGGGCTTGGCAGGAGCTGGTCGAGGGCGCTTGACGCTGCCATCTTTGAAATTCGTGCTGGCACACTCCTCTTGGATATCCTCGGACCATTCGTACAAGGGACGTACCAAAACAAGTTCTTTATTGTGGTCTTGGATTACTTCATGAAATGGATAGAGGCCGAGGCCCTTGCGAAGATCACCTCGCACAACATCCTCCGTTTCTACAAACGAAACATCCTCGCCAGATTTGGAATCCCGAAGGCGCTGATCACAGACAACGGTACCCAATTCACCGACCACGGGTTCCGAAACTTCATCGCCAAACTCGGAACCAAACAACATTTTACCTCGGTTGAGCACCCCCAAACCAACGGGCAAGCCGAGGCTGCCAACAGGGTCATCCTGCGAGGGCTCAAACGCCGGCTCGGCGAAGCAAAAAGAGGGTGGGTCGAGGAGCTGCACAGCGTCTTATGGGCTTATTGCACCACGCCCCATTCAACAACGGGCGAAACCCCTTTTCGACTAACATACGGCACCGAGGCCGCCATCCCCATAGAAATCAGGGAACCCTCCATGCGGACAGAAATTCCTCTCGACGAGGAAATGAACGACGAAGCACTTAGAGACGAACTCGACCTGGTCGAGGAAATTCGATCAGGGGCAGCCCTGCGCGAGGCCGCTCTAAAACAACGAGTAGCTCTGCGTCATGACGACAAGGTCATCAGACGCGAGTTCCAGATCGGAAGCCTGGTATTACGAAGAAACTAGAAAGACTCCCACGAAGGGAAATTGGCCGTGAACTGGGAAAGACCCTATCGCGTCCATGGCACCACAGGCACCGGGGCGTATTACCTCGAGCAGCTAAATGGAGAACCGTTACCGCGACCCTGGAATGCTGCTAAGCTAAAACAGTATTATAGCTAAAGCCCTTAAACACTGAGGACTTTCACCGTCGAACATCCACCTTTAGTCAACAAAGGGAAAAGTCTCGACCACGTAGACAGGCCGAGGTACGAGCCCGATCTACACCTAAACGACATAACGTCGTTCAGCCAACGAGGTCGAACGACAATGCCCGACAGGGACACCTCGATCGAGCTCCAGTGTTGAAGTACCCACATGGCAGAACACCCAGCTCGCGATGGGCAGTTCACGTTATGGGCGTACGACCTTGATCTAGGTCATACGCTCGACACGTGGGCTCCATTCCGCACAACCGACGCATTTCGAAGTACGTCGAACCACCAAAGGGGTCGAAAGGATATCTCCGCTCGAGGACATAACTTAAACAAAATATTCAACACAAGAGTAACAGTCGAACATTAGCCTAGACACGAGCAAGTTAAGGCGACATAAACATCCATAAAAAAAGTTCATGCACAAGACAAGTTAATAGTGAACCGACCGAGAAGGTCGGCGATGTTCGGGGTTACAAGCCATGGCACAACGGCCAAAAGAAATTAAGAAATGAGCACGGGCACGCAGGCCCCAAAAAATGAGCACGGGCATGCAGGCCCCAAAACAAATAAAAACCAATATGCGGGCGCGCAGGCCCAAACAAAAACTTGACGCTAAACATCCCCAGGACTACCGGTATCTACTCCAGGAGACTCGAGAGGAGGCACGACCTGGCCATCAATAATCTGGGACAGGAACCCGACTCCCTCAGTGTTTATGCCCGGATTTAGGACCGAGAACTGGCTGACCGCGGCCTCGAACCCATCAGCTAAGGCACCGACGCAGTCCGACTCAAGAAGGTGGATCCGTGCAACCAAATCTGAACGGGTTCGTAAAGAGGCTATCTCCTCTGGCTCGTCGTCGGCAGGAAACATAGTAGCTTTTAGCTCCTTGATTTCCTTGGACAATCGTTTGTTGTCACCCTCCAACCGTTCCTTGTCAAGTAGGAGGCAATCCCTCTCCTCGACAACCTTCGCAGTCTTTTCCTTCTCCCCCGACAGCAGGTCGGCCTGCTCACGGAACATTTCCTCGGACCGTTCGAGGGCCGCCTTTAACTTACGAGATTTGGCAGCAAAAGCAGCCTTCTCTGATTCCAACTCCCTAACACAGTCCGAGGAGTCTGATCCTTCCCCGGCAAGGACCACGGCCATCTCAGCCATCTTCACCACCCCGACCATACTGGCGGCGAGGTGTTTCCTCCGACCTTCTTTGTCAAGCCGTTTAATAGTCTCGGCCTCGTTATCACTCACCGTCAGAGGAAACCCCTCGAAGAAATCCTTCTCTGCAAAACAGGGCGGTAAGTCGAAGGCCCGAGCAGCGACAGGCTCGTCACCAGCCTCCGACCTGCTCTCAGTCCGATTCCTCTTCCAGGTAACCAGCTCAATGGGTTGCTTGGCATCGGGAGAGCCCGAGGACCCACTGGATGCATCTCCGCCCGAACTGGCCGGCAGGCCCATCCTTGTGGCTTGCGGTGCCCTCACCAACCTCTTGTTTATCTTCTTGTCTTGGGTTAGCTTCAATAACCTATCTCGTCGTTCAGCCATGTCACCTGCAAAAAGGAGCAAACTCGGGTTAGCCGCAAGCAATCAAAAACAACAAAAATGGAATAAAAACAATAAGAGCAGAAGCGAGAAACCTAGCAGATCTACGGCCTGCCCGTAAGATTGGAACTCAAAGAGTGCCTTGGTGTTGATGGGACGCGCCTCGAACGTTGGGTACCCGTCCTCATCAAG